CATTATTGGTAGAGAAGAATGAAGAAAGATATAGTTGCGTATGTGACTCGGTGTTTGAATTGTCAGTAGGTGAAGTACGAGCATCAGAGGTCTGGAGGTTTACTTCAAAGAGTTGAGATTCCCGAGTGGAAGTGGGAGCGTATTACCATGGATTTCATTGTTGGGCTCCCACGGACTTCGAAGAAATTTGACGCAGTATGGGTCATTATGGACAGGTTGACCAAGTCGGCAATTTCATTCCAGTGGCAGTTACCTATTCTTTAGAGCGGTTGGTTGAGATTTATATCCGCGAGATTGTTCACCTGCAAGGTGTGTCAATGTCCATTATTTCTGATTGAGTACACAGTTCACATCACATTTCTGGAGGGCCGTACAATATGAGTTAGGCATATGGGTTGAGTTAAGTACATCGTTTCACCCCCAGACGGACGAACAGTCCGACCACAACATCCAGATATTGGAGGATATGCTTCGCGCCTGTGTTATGGATTTCAAGGGTTCTTGGGATCAGTTCTTGCCACTTGTGGAGTTTTCCTACAACAACATCTACCAATCAAGTATTCAAATAGCTCCTTATGAGGCATTATATGGAAGGTGGTGTCGTTCGCCAGTTGCTTGTTTGAGCCAGGAAAGGCTCGGTTGTTGGGTACCTATTTGGTTCAAGATTCCTTGGAAAAGGTCAAGATGATCCAGGATACAGCTCATTCTAGGCAAAAGAGTTATGCCGATTGTAGAGTTTATGATGTTGCATTCATGGTTGAAGAGAGGTTTTTGCTCCGGGTTTCACCCATGAAGGGTGTGATGAGGTTCGGAAAGAAGGGCAAGTTGAACCTTAGGTATATCGGATCCTTTGAGATTCTTGAGAGAGTTGGTGAGGCGGCCTACAAGCTTGTATTTCCACCTAGCTTATCAGGAGTTCACCTGGTGTTTCATGTTTCCATGCTCCGAAAGTATCACTGTTATCCGTCCCATATATTATATTTCAGCTCAGTCCAACTGGACAAGGATTTGACTTACGAGGAGGAGCCGGTGGCCATTATAGCACGGCATGTCCGGAAGTTAAGGTCTAAGATTTATCCTTTTGTTATAGTGCAGTGGAGAGGTCAGCCGATCAAGGCAGATACGTGAGAGTCCAAGTCCCATATGTGAAGTAGATACCCACACCTTTTCACTAGTCCGGGTACCTTGCTATGTCTGTTAAAGGACACACGTTTGTTTTAGAGGTAGAGAATGAGATGCCCCGATAGGTCATTTTGAGTTTTAGCCTCCATTTTCGTATTTCGATCCCTTGATTAGCTCCTTTAGTGCTTATCGATTTACATGCACAATATGTGTCTTATTCCAGAAAATGTTTATGTGAAAAACTAGGAAAAAAATATGAATTTTAGCCTTAAAAATGATTTGAGTTGACTACGGTCAATATTTTGTGTAAACGGATCCAAATCGGTATTTTGACGATCCCGCAGGGCTTGTATCGTGATTTTGGACTTGGGAGTATGCCCGAAATTGAATTTGGAAATCCCTAATTTGTTTTGACGTGATTTGTTTAAAACTAGTAATTTTGAGGTTTAAAGAATTTCGAAGTTTGACTGTAGGTTGACTTCATAGCTACCGGATTTGGATTTTGATTCCGAAACTTAGTACAGGTTCATTTGGTGCAAAATAGAGTTGATTTGATAGGATTTGGACGCTTGGTTATGAATTTTAAAGTCCTTGAGTTTCTTTGAAAAATCCATGCATTTTGATGTCTAATTCGTAATTCTAGGTATTATTTTGGTGTTCTGATCGCGCGAGCTAGTTCGTATGATGTTATTACACTTGTGTGCATGTTTGGTTTGGAGCTCGAGGGGCTTGGGTGAGTTTCAGATAGGCTACGGATCATTTTTGGACTTAAGGAAGTTGCTAGTTTGCTGTTGTTGGTGTTTGAAGCTTTGTGCTTCGCGATCATGAAGGTACTCTCGCGATCGCGAAGGGGAACTTGGGGTTGACGTGGATCCCTTCATCGCGAACGCGATGGCATGGTCGTGAATGCGAAGAATTAGAGGGTTTTCCCTTGGCGAACGCGACCAACCTCTTGCGAACGCGTACAATTATGGGGCCTGGGAAGGGAGCTTGACTGTTACTCTTTGTGAACGCGATCATTGGACCGCAAACGCAAAGGCAGGGGGAGTAAGCCTTCGCGAACTCGAAGTGTGACTTGAGAACGCGAATGCCTTTGGCTGCTGCTGCTTCGTGATCGTGTCAGGTCCTTCGCGAATGCAAAGAAGACTTGATGTCAATGATTAAATAGGCCCAAAGTCGGGATTTATCCCGTTTCTCACTATTTTCAAGTTTGAGCTCGGCCTAGAGGTAATTTTGAAGATGTTTTTCATCCCAAATTCATAGGTTAGTAGATTTTAACTTGTTTCCTTATATTTTCATAAACACCTATTGATTTTAACCTTTAATCTATATTTTTTCATGGTAGAAATTGGGAATTGTGAGGAATTGAGATTTAAACCTTAAATTGAGATCGGATTTTGAAACTAATCACATAACCAGTACCGGGGTGAATGGGTAATTGGGTTTTGGTCCGAATCTAGTGTTTTGACCAAGCAAGCACGGGGTTTGACTTTTTTCAAAAATATTAAAGATTGAATCTTATTCACTCGTGGGTAGTTTCTAAAGCTTATCTTGAGTTATTTGAACTATATTTGGTTAGATTTGATTGGGTTGGAGGTTAATTCTAGAGGAAAACCTGCGATTGAGCATTGATTTAGTTGCGGGGTGAGGTAAGTGTCGTGGTTAACCTTGACTTGAGAGATTCGGACTTGTTTGTCTATTTGGTACGTGTTTTATGTATGGGAACAACGTATATATGAGGTGACGAGTACCTATGTATTGTCATTGAGTTAAAGTATGCGGGTGAAAATTGATTCTGTATATTATATTATTTCATTAATTGTGATATTCATGGTTAGGTTAGATTATTACTTCTTTGATTAATCGTTTTGTATTTATTGCTTATTTCAAAGTTGTTGAATATTTTTGGAAGTTGAAGTTTGATATCATGGCACCATATTTGAAATTAAATTATCCTCCGCATTGTTTAATATTCGAATTCATATTATTGCATGGTGAGGACGAGAGCAGAAGCACGAAGGATGATGTCGTGCCATTTCATTATTATTACATGGTGAGGAAGAGAGTAAAAGCACGAAGGGTGATATCGTGCCATTTCATTCATATTATCATCATTATTACATGGTGAGGAAGAGAGTAAAAGCACGAAGGGTGATGCCGTGCAATATCACTTTTATTATTGTTACATGGTGAAGAAGAGAGCAAAAGCACGAAGGTTGATGCTGTGCCATTATATTTATATTATTGCATGGTGAGGAGGAGAGTAAAAGCGCGAAGGGTGATGCTGTGCCATTTTCATATCATTGATCTGACTGATTTCCAGTTTTGATGATTTACTTGGTGATTTCGTGATTTCATACTTGTCATACTTATTATATCTTCCCCTTTTCGCATGTCCCCTCCCAGTTAGTTCCTTATCATTTTCTGTTATTAATGCTACTTTATATACACTTGTACAGGTTTATTTACGTAGATATCTTGTCATAGCCTCGTCACTACCTTGTCGAGGTTAGGCTCGACACTTACGGAGTACATTGGGTCGGTTGCACTCATACTACACTTACTACACTTCTTATGCAGATACTGGTATTGGTCCTAGCGGTGCTCAATAGCTTTCTGCTCGGATTCAGTCACAGTTAGAGATTTGAGGTATAGTTGCACGGCATCCGCAGCCCTGAAGTCCCCTTCCCTCCTGTATTTACTATTTGATTGAGTTTCAAAACAGTTGTACTTTGTTCATACCTTATTTGTAGCACTCTAGATACTTTAGGCGCACTCATGACCCCAAAGTTGGGATTCTGGGTCGTGGCATACTCATACTATACTTCTATATATTTTTGTGCAATTCGGATCCGAGTACCTGTAAATCACCCGAGGGAGCTTGGGAGATGATGCGGAGATTTTGCTGTGAGATGCCTTTGCTTGAACCACACGTCCTTTTTTTTGGTTTTCGCACCCGATATCCGGTACCCGCATTGGAGCCCGACTATATCCGGATACGCGCCGCATAGGGCCCTATTCGGGGGGAAGCGCTCCCTACCAAGGATTTTTTTCATACCCAGGGCTCGAACTCGAGACCTCTGGTTAAGGGGAGAGCAGTCCCATCCACTGCACCACATCCTTTGGTGGTGAATCACACGTCCTAAAAGACATTTTTATGTGCCCAATTTAACTTGCAATTTAATTTTTGTGTCGCAATTAATAGATCATTAAGATTTTATTGTCCAATTCACTAAAAATTCGATGAATGCAAAGTATACTAGGATTAAATTGAGCCTATAAGCAAACCCTTATGACATTGACATTCGATGTTGAATTCTTAAATGGGAAAAATGTGAAGTTTCCCATCTTTTGAACCTTCATAAGTGCTTAAACGAGTGCCTAAGTTAAACCGAGGCACAGCCGGACCCACACGAAGTAGCAAAGTCGTCAGGGGAAATGAGAAAATCAAATTGAAATTTTTTAAAGCATGTAGCAGCATCGGCCAGTGCTGAATAATCCATTTCCTTTTTAGTTTGTGACCTTTTCTAAATTTAAGAAATAATTTTAACTTAAATTTCCTATTTTATTCATAATAAGAAATTTTATAGCCATACAAATTTTATGGCATATTACCTCTTTTCATTTTTTTGAGCCGAGGGTCTTTCGGAAACAACCTATCTACTCTCGCGGATAGAGATAAGGTCTATGCACACACTATATTATCGGATCCCACTAGTAAAATTTTACCGAGTTGTCGTCCTTGTTGTTGTTGTTATAGACACACAAATGATATAACATATTTAATGCAACAAGTTTTAGTGATCTTCTTAAAACTTGTTTCATAATTCATATAAATTAAAATGGCCAGAGTACTTTTTATTTCACTTTGTTATATTGAGTAACATAGTTATATAAGGTGTCACCTTTAAAAATATCATTTTCTCCCTTCTTTCTTTTCTGTTCTTCTGTCCTTTTTAAACGAAGAAATCCACTTTTCAATTTACTGGTATAGATTCATACAAAGTAGGGAAAACGAACAAGAAGAAAAATGATATTTGACCTGTTAAAATTAACCACTTTTTGATTCATTTCTAGTTGACGAGATTCGCCAGTTCAAAATTCTCCAAATAGCTCGGAGTTCGGATTTCTCGCTTTCCCGGCGACTGCTCCGCCGCCTGTTCTCCTTTTCCGGCTATGCTCCCCCCGTAAAATTCTCCTCTCATTTACTGCTAAATTCATTATTATGTTTACTCTTTCACCATTCAGTCCATATAATCTCCTTGTATTCGCATAGCTATTCAAATTCATTTCCGGTCAAATTTGGATGCATCAATTTTATTAAGATTGTTATATTATTTATGTTGGTCAAACTTTAGATATCAGTTCAATATAATGTCTGTGTATGTTTTTTTAGATCATAAACAGTTCAGTAAACATTGAAGAAGCTTACGATCAGTTTAATTTCTTTAACCTTTTTCAGTAGAAGTTGGAACTGCGACATTTTCTAGGTTGTTGTTTAATTTTAATCCTTTTTTTCGTTGTTTATGGTTTATAATGAGCTAATGTACCAGTTGGTTCAGTTAATATTGTTGATCAGTAAAAACTTTTTTTTTTTTTTTTTCAGTTGAAACTACAGTTTTTTGACTAGCTTGTGCGGACCTCGACTATTCCACCGGATATCTGCTCCTCCCACCATCACAGGTACTGGATAACTCTATCCACCAAAGCTAGGAAGAAATTACATAGTATTTTTCGTTTCCACTTGGATCTGAACCTGGTACCTCGTGGTTCTTCTGTCTCTTCATTTACCACTAGGCGACACGGTGCGAAACTGCAGCTTTTTTGTAACAATCTATGAGTAGCTACACAACTCATTTCATCTGCCCATCATGTAACAATTAAGCAAACTCAACAAAACTCAAATAGAAATACATGCCATAACCGCCACATCACATAGTCAGCTGCTACTCTACAAACCCGATGGTAGAAAGTATCCCATATAACTATAACTCTTCTGGGTGACACACCCGTATGATGCCTTGATTTGTATAAGCAAATCTGACCCGCCGTAGAATACACATTATTTATGGTTCTACCAGTAGACACCTAAACTGATTCCACATTCTTCTGAAGTAGTAATAAGCCTTCCACAAGCCAACAAAGACCCATTCTAACTCTCACTTATCAACACACAACTGCGAACATATATATGCAAATCCGTTTCATCCCAGTCACTAACTACACCACTTGTGATCAGCTAGATAAGCTTAAACCTCGGGAAACCTAATGCATTGAATCTACGAATCCTTAAATCTCTATAGTCTTTACTCAATTTGTCCATTATCCCGATACACAAAAATAATTCCAACAACCTCTTAAACCATACTCCTCAAATCAAGATCTCCGAGAAGGATATATTACTACACCTAAGCAGATCACAACATACCAAATACTATAATCCACAAGCTTGAATAAGCACAAATCTTCTCAAGTCACCCACCAAAGATGCCTACAACCAACTTTCTGACTATTGACCATTACCAAAGTGATAGTCTCACCTCTAGAAATTCAATCTCTAAACTCCAAAAGTTCAAGATTCCTCATCCTAATGAACATGCCTGCTCAAACACAACTCTGAAGTCACGCCTGCTAGCATCTCCAAAACCCCTATATCCACAGATCCTTCTATGTCAGGCAGCTAAAATCTAAACCTCAATGACTGACCATCACATAATTGCCGTAACGCTTAGTCGAATTATCCATAGACCCCATGTGTAAGCATCCTCTACAACACATTCCCTTTCTTGGTGATACTGGATGGTGTGCCACATGGGTACTTTCCAGCTTTTCGAGGGCTGTAACAAGGGTTCCAAATCTAGCCTATTGATTTTAGCTGGTCACTACGAGCTGACTCGTCGTGAAATTCACTTATTCTTAGAAAAATGATGTGTGCTAGCCTTCCCTACCATCAGTGTATCCGCTTCCGGAGCTTATTCTTTATAAACTACAAATAGTACAAAGGAAAAGACAAGGCTGCTCCCAGATCGACAGGGGGTTCATTGCTTTGATTCATTTTCTTTTCTTTTTTCGCTCCCCCGGGAAAAGACTTGTCGGAAATCGCTGGTGGTTGGTCCGGAAAGAAATGGGACTTTTTGGGCGTAAAAGTGCTTCTCTTACGATATTTCGATTTGGATGAAAAGAGTAAAGTTACAATATCTATATGTTGTTCAAAACTATCTTACTTTGAAAGGGGTAGTCCCAAAACATCGTAAAGGATTCAATAAACGTCTTGAAACTTAGTAACACAAAACAATTCACTGAATGGTTGTTGGCTCTACCGGAGGTGTCTGAAATCAACAATGTGTAACCGCTCTGTACTACTATGCCCCATAAGCAACTCAAATCATCTGCGCTAACTCAAAGCTGTTTAATTTTAATCCCTTTTTTTTTTGGTATCATGTTTATGGTTTTTAATGAGCAAATGTAGCAGCTGGTTCAATTAATATTGTTGATCAGTTAACTTTTTTTTTTTTTTTTTTTGCAGTTGGAATTGCAATTTTTTTTCTTGCGCGGACCACGACTATTCCACCGGATATCTGCTCCTCCCACCACCATAGGTACGGATAACGTTGCCCATTAAGACTTAGGATGGGAAGAAATCACCTAGTGTTTTTTGTTTGCGCTTAGATTTGAACATGAGACCTCATGATTCTTCTCTCTCTTCATTGATCACTAAGCCACACCCTTGGGTTCGAAACTGCAGCTTTTTTTTGTCGGTGATTTGTGTCGTATTCTACAATTTTATATGTATGCATAAAAGCTGATAAGGTAGTCCTTATGTGTGAGTTCGAGCCTGTTTTGAAGATTCTCTAGATAATTTAATTTAAATACAGTAAAATGTTCTACAATTTTTTTTAATTGTTTATTTCTTCATTTTGCCTATGACTACATTGATAGGTCTTCACAAGCTAGTGGTATAGTTGGTTCAGTTAAAGAAGTGACTCCGTCTGTCGGATGAGAAGTGAGAGATGAAGAAAGTCAAGAGAAAGCTTGGGAAGTATGAGCTTGGCAGAACTATCGGCGAAGGTGCTTTTTCCAAAGTTAAGTTCGCGCAGAACACTGAGACTGGCGAGAATGTTGCCATCAAAGTCTTGGCGAAAAGCACCATTCTCAAGAACAAAATGGTTGAGCAGGTATTGCAATATACTTTCTTTTCTTATATTAGGTCTAAGTTTGAGTTTATTGCCTTTAAAGATCAGAATTTGAGAAAGCAAAGTTTTTTCAGAATTGACAAATCAATCTTTTCAAAGCCAAGTTTAGATTCATGAATCTACTTTGTCAATCTTGAGTTAACTGCTTGATGAGTAACCCTGTCTCCCAGGAAGTGGATGGATCCTAAGTCTGTGCTTTAGTTGTTTGACTAACTTGAGGTACTTAAGAAGTAAAGCATTTGCTGTATCATTTTCTTTTTGACTATCTATGCTTTGTTAAAGATGATTATCTGGCTATGAGGACTTAATATCTTGGAGTTTTCTCCTCGTTCTTCATATTTTGCCTCTTTTTCAGGTCAATCTCTTGACTTCTTTGGTCTGGTTTTGCAGATCAAAAGAGAGATATCTATAATGAAAATTGTCAGACATCCTTGCATAGTTCGGCTTCACGAGGTAAAATAATTCAAGAAGCCTAGTATGAGTACAACTCTTTCTCTATCTCTCCCTTTCCCCATCTGTCTGTAGTATGTTAAATTTGTAGTTTCATTTTCTTAATTTTTCTATTGAGATGTTTATTGCTTTTGTATATTCATTTATAGGTTTTAGCTAGTCGGACAAAAATATATATCATTATGGAGTTTGTCACTGGAGGAGAGCTTTTCGACAAAATTGTAAGATATTTCCAGCATTTTTTATATATATATTGACTGAATATCTACTCCTGGCTTGGTGTTAGTTATTCTTAGTGTTTAGCGATATTATACCTTGGTAAAGTTTTGTTGGATAATGCTTCATGATCTATAAGTAAGGGCTATTTTCGAATCTAGATTGATGTAGATTTTGGGAGTTAATCAAATCAACTGAGTGAATCCTAATCTGTACATACAAAGTAAAGATTCGGGGATTATCTTCCTAAGAGAAAATAATAGAAGCACGGATCCATTATCATGATCTTCATAAAAGCTATTTGACAAGCTACCCATATATAGATCTTTCTTCTGTGTTAGCATGCATACTTGTGCTTCCGTTTTTTCAATAAAGGTCCCAGGATCCCTTCTCTAACAACTAATAGTTTTTGAGATTGTGATACGTTTTCTATTGTTAATCCAAAAGGTTCATCTTCAAGAGTTTATACTAGTTTTATCTTACCACTCTAATTTTAGTCTTTGGTTAATGGGTGGAAATGATCAATTTGTTAACAATAGTTTAGCTTTATTTCCGTCTTTCAGAGAGTTCAAGGATGTTTTCTAGCTAGTCAAAGTCCAGTGATTGAATTTTTTTTCATCAGATCCGGATAGTTGATATGTAATACCTCAGACATGCTAGTTCTAAACATTAGTACACAATGGTGGTTGCAAGGAGTACCAAATAGATCTATACTGTTGGGTACATGCTGATTCTTAGTCGGTCTTCCTTTAGGTGTTTCCATTTTCACTAACTCTGGTACTGTTCATGGACCTTTGAACCTTTTCTTTCTTATCCGCCTTCTTCCAATGTTGATTATTAAGAAGTGATTTTTTATCTTTATCATGCCTCTGCCTTTCATGATAGTTTTGCTGGATTTGTAGGTTCATCAAGTTAGGCTCCCTGAAAAAGAGGCTAGACGATACTTCCAGCAACTCATAGATGCCGTTGCTCACTGTCATAGTAAGGGTGTATATCATCGGGATCTGAAGGTCGGCAATTGCTATATGGGGAATTTGTTGTGGGGATATCCAGTTTTAGCATTAACCATTAACATTTGTTGCTCTTCCTTGTTCTGTAGCCTGAAAATCTTCTTCTTGATTGCCAAGGTAACTTGAAAGTTTCCGATTTTGGACTTAGTGCATTGCCTCAACAAGTAAGTAGAATCTCATTTTTTAGTTGCATTAGATTGGCAGAGCATACTATTGTTTTCTTGATTTTCCTTGCGAAAATGAAAGCTTCTAAAACGGCACTTTATCGAGATTTCAATCAGGGAGTTGACCTCCTTCATACCACTTGTGGGACTCCAAATTACATTGCACCTGAGGTACGATGTTTATCTATTTTGAATTCTTTAAATCCGTTGTGACAGTTTGATGAGTGTTGCTTCCTATTTGGGATACCCAAAAGATGATTCCTCATTTAATTGGCCTGCTAGCCTCCATAATACTCTTCTCATCTCAAATTATTTAAATTTTAAATTGATTGGTTATTCTCATGCTAAATTTACTACTGGGTAGAGATATGATGTCATTCCTGCTTTAATGATGCCATGCGATAATGCTGTCATCATGTATTGCTTTAACCTTAAGCTTGAGAATAGTATGCTTGCTGAACAAACATTTTCAGCTTCCTTATGAGAAAGTGGCGGGATTTGTTAGCATAATTTCCTATGTGCTTGTTGCTTTTCACATTCTTTTAGTCCTTTACTGAAACCTAGAGGGTGTTTGGATTGGCTTATTTTAAGTGCTTATTAGCTTTTAAGCACTTCTTTAGTTTGTGTGGTGTTTGGCAATGATACAAAAGTGCTTAAAATCACTTACTTTTAGGCGTAAAAAGTACAAAAATAAGCCAAAAGCCAAAAGTTGGGTATTACCAACTTATGGCTTTTGGCTTTTAGCTTAAAAGCTACTTTTTATAAGCCAATCCAAATACCCTCCTAGTCAGTCTGTCAATGCTTACGACAACCTTGCTCGTGTTTGCCGACTGGGATTCCATATCAGCTTCATTCCTTCTCAATATCATAGGGGTCATCTGTGGGATGTATATTTCTTTGTAGGATTACTTAGTTTCCCTGCTGTCTATCTCTAGGAATGCACAATTTCTCTTCTTTGTAAAAATTAAGTCTTAATTACTCCTCTCAACTCTATAATATACTATGGATGTGTATATATATAAATATATATAAATCTTCAATCAATTCTAAAGAGTGCCATTGACATGTGTTCTGTCTACAAGGAGCTTGAATTACGGTGAAGCCAAGAAGAGCATTCGTATCATTCATTTTACTTTGTCCCAGAACTTATTTACCTCTCATGGCTAATCAACTTTCATTTGTTTGTAGATTTTGAGAAGAAGAAAAGGCTTCTTATATTTCTATATGTGTTTACATCCCATGAACAAAGAAATTTATACAAAGCTCTTAATGCTAATTAAGGAAGTAAAATAAATCTATACAATCAATCCAGCTATCAAATCAAATAAAATCAGATCTCCTAAATATAATCAAATCTCCTGAAATCATGCTAATCAACAATCTCCTAAATCAAATCTCCTTGAATCATGAACAGTCCCCCTCAAGTTGGTGCAAAGATGTCGCACATGCCCAACTTGCAACTTAAAGTATGGAAAGTTAGCTTGTTGAGACCTTTGGTAAACACATCAGCTAAGTGTTTTTCTGATAGCACATAAAACAAACTTAAGACACCAGTTGTAACTTCTTTTTGATGAAGTGTCGATCAATTTCCACATGCTCTGTTCGGTCATGTCGGACTGGATTATGAGTTATGCTGATGGTAGCCTTATTTTCACAGTGCAAGGAAAGTTTTCATTTTTCAGACGGTCTTAATTCCTAGAGTAGCTTTTGTAGCTAAAGCAAGTCGCAAACACCCTAGGCTATAGCTCTATATTCTGCCTCTGCACTTGATCTAGCAACTACACTTTGCTTCTTGCTTCTCCAAGTAACCAAGTTTCCTCCTACGAGCGTATAATAATCGGATGTAATTCTTCTGTCATCTAGAGATCCAGCTCAATCCGCGTCTTTAAAGGCTTCTATTTGGATGTGATCATGTTGGAGAAAAGTAGACCTTTCCCTGGAGTAGATTTCAGATACCGCAAAATGTGAAAGACAACTTGCATATGAGTATCTCGGGGATCATCCATGAACTGACTCACCAAGCTAACTGAATAGCCTATATCTAGTCTAATGTGAGAGAGATAAATGAGTCTTCCAACCAACCTCTGATATCTCTCCTTATCAACTCACTCTCCAACTCCGCTTTGTAACTTGTGATTGCTTTCAATGGCGATTCTGCGGGTCTGCAACCTGTCATACTAGTTTATTTCAAGAGATCCAGAATATACTTCCTTTGAGAAATAAAGATTCATCTTTTTGATCTAGCAACCTCAATTCCCAAGAAGTACTGCAATTTTCCTAGTTCCTTGATCTCAAATTCATGTGGCAACAACTTCTTCAATCGAGCCATCTTCTCTTTGTCTATCTCTTGTCATTACTATGTCATCAACATAAACTATGAGAAGAGTGAGTTTACCCGTTTGATGTCTTATGAAGAGAGTATGATCAACATTGCTTTATTGGTAACTATGGCTGTCCAACGGGACGGGTTGGCCCGGCCCATCCCAGTCCCGGACCACTAAATATTAAACGGGACTGGGCCTATATTAAACGGGACATGGGATGGGACGGGCTGACCATTTTGTCCCGGTGGGCCGGCCCCTTAAGGTCCCGACCCGTCTCGCCAGCCCGCGCGATTTTTTTTCTTTTTTAAAAAGAGCTACTGGCCAACGGCATTTATTAAATTACACTTTGGCCTTATTTTAACTATAAATACCCCCATCCTTCTTCATTTTTCTCACAAAAATCAATCATTCTTTCTCAAATTTCTTACATTCTATCTATATTCTTCTATTAATTTTCTCATAATTAACTACGTTTCAAGTATTTGGGCAAGTTTTTGGAGCAACTTTCAAGCTTCAAATTAGTTCGTCAAGTATTTGGAGTAATTTTTAGGCAATTTCTTCAAGTTTCAATATTTAATCACGGTGCATTCGTTCCATCTTCGAATTTTAATATTTAATTTTTGCATATAATTTTAGTGTTTAATTTTTGTGTTTACTTTACGTGTTTTATTTTCGTGTTTCAATTTTGTGTTAACTTGTCTAATTTCTTTTCGTATTTAAATTATGGCTCCTAAAAAGTATTTGGCATAACCAACCCATTTAAAAAAAGTGGTAAAGATGCTAGTTGTAGTAATCCTAATCCTGATCCTTCTCCTAGAATCAGAAAACATATAGATAAAATGACTCATGTTGATGCAACTTCATTTACTCAACCCCTCGTATTTTATAATATTAATTCGGGAGTACAACTAGATCATGAAATTTTACAAAGACAATTTGGCAATGATATTTTTAACGAGGAAGAAAAATTAGATGCAGCACCCACTAGTCCAGCAACACAAGCTCAAACTCAGAGTCAATCTCGGTTTGGAGCTTTACCCCCGTACCTCCTGTAAAGGGTAAGGCTAAGGCTGGACGTACGAAAACATCACTTGTATGGAATTCTTTTGAACATGATAAAGTCAATTTAGTTGCTACCTGTGTAAAATGTAAAGCACGATTTGCACATGAAAAATCAGGTGGGACGGGGTTTGACCAGGCACTTACTTAAAACACACAAACCTTTATGGATACAAGCTCAAATAGATGCCGGAAAAATATCAGATCCTAGCAGCGGTACTGGCGCTCCTACTGGATTTGGCGGGAGTTCTAATTTTGTCTAACGACAATTTCAACCTACTTCTGGTACTATATTACGTCCTTATAACAAAGATAGAGATCGTGAAAATTTAGCAAAAATGGTCGCTGTCTGTGGCTTACCTTTTACTTTTCTTTCTCACCCTGCTTTTGTGCATTATATACGAGAAACTTATAGTCCCGCTTTTCAAGGTTTTCCTAAGACCACAGTTAGAAATGATGTTTTTAAATTTCAAACTGAATATCTTTAGTATATTCGTTGTGTATTTTTTCACTTAGTTTGTGAAGTGTCTATCACATCTGATAAAGATCGTAGTCCTAATGGTAATGATTATTTAACTGTTACATATCATTGGGTTGATCATCACTGCAACATGCAAAAACTTATTGTTGGTTATAAATTTGTTGATTCAAAACACACTGGAGCATATATTGCAACTATTGTTCTAGAAATACTTGAATTTATGGGCCCAATGATAAAGTTTTAACTATCACATTAGATAATGCTTCTGCTAACACCACTGTAGCAAATAGCTTAAAAGCTAGAATTTGCCCAATTAATCCAGAAATTTTCCATGTTAGATGTGCATGCCATATTTTTAACTTGGTTGTAAAAGATGGTATTAATTTATTTTTTGATGCTTGTGGTAAAGTACAACATGCTTGCGGCTCTAGTTTTCGTGCTAATAAAGCGAGTAGAATTCGTGAGTTTGAAGAATGATGTGCATATGCTACTAAGAGGTCTAGTTCAAACAGAACCCTTCCTAGAAGGTAGCTGCGTAGATAAGGTGTTATTCAAAAGACTTGTATTTGTATGTGAAATTTGAAACTTTTATTAATAAAATAAAAGGCTTTAGCCTTGAAATTTTTATGAATTGTCTTACTTAGTTACTTTATAGCTTGAGATTATATTAAATAAATTATAGGTCTATTATAATTACTAAACTATTTCGTTACAAGTCTTTTATTTTAATATTTATAATTCTTTACTTAGTTTCTTTATAATTTATTAAGTTTTAAGTTTATTATAAAAGTCAAAAACACTAGCCGTTGCAAACTTTAAAAACTTAGTCATTGTCAACTTTAAAAAAATAACCGTTGCTATCTATAAAAAGAATAACCGTTGCCAAATTTAATGCTTAAATGTTTAAATGAATTTTTTTTTTAAAAAGGCCCACTTAGGGCCTACGTCCCGTCCTATCCCGTCCTATCCCGCCCTGTTTGTTAGTGGGATGGGATGGGCCTACCGGGTCGTCCCGTTTAAAGCTCGTCCCGTCACCGTCCCGGTTAAAGTCCGTCCTGTCCCGATAATTTCGTCCCGTCCCGTCCCGTCCCATTGGACAGCTATCTTGGTAACAGAAGGAGATCATTGCTTTGCTGAATCTATCAAACCAAGTTATTGATTCAGTCCGTACAAGGCTTTCTTCAATCTGCATACCTTTCCTTGACTTTGTCCAGTATCAAATTCAGGAGGAATCTCCATATACACCTCTTATTCTAAGTCTCCGTGAAGAAATGCATTCTTCACATCAAACTGTTGCAAGTCCCAAGCAAGATTAGCTGCACAAGATAAAAGAATTCTAATATCGTTCATTTTAGCAACAGGGGAAAATGTCTCTTGATAATCCACTTCATAAGTTTGAGTGAATCCCTTAGCCACCAATCTTTTTTTGTATCTTTCAATTGAACCATCAGTTTTGTGCTTCACAGTGAAGACCCATTTGCAGCCAACCAACTTCTTGTCGGGTGGTGAAGTGACAAGTTCCCAAGTCTCCGTTTTTAACATGGCATTCATTTTTTCAATCATAACTTGCTATCATTTAGGATCTGCAAAAGCTTCCCTCCAATCTAGGAATAGACACAGAAGAAATAGACAAGGCAAAGGCTCTATAGGAGGGAGACAAAGAATTATTGGAGACAAAATTAGATAAAGGGTGTTTGGTGGTGCAAGATATGACTCCTTTTCTGTGAGCAATAGGCACATCTAACTCATTAGGAAATGTAGATGACTCACCAGTAGAAGAAGGTTCAGCCTCGGTAGATTGCATGATGGTTTTTTCTGCTCTATTTCTCCTTTGAGTAAGTTTTCAAATCAAGCCTATCCAAAAGCCCAATAGTCTCCCCTGAATTCTTTCTCCAATTTCACTTTTCCCTGTGACAATGTCATCAAGAGGTCCAGTAATGGAACTAGGTAGAATCACCTCTTCCTCCTTACTACTCTCCCCCTTAAGAGGTGATGAGGTAATACTGTAATAGGGCTCAGATTCTCGAAAGGTACCATCCATGCTAACAAAAAATCTCCTAGGGGGAAGATGATTACATTTGTAACATTTCTATGTTGGAGAATACCCAATTAAAACACACTTTATAGCTCTAGGATCAAGTTTCCCAGAATTTTTAGTGTGGACAAAGCAAACACACCCAAACACCTTTGGAGGAACAATATATTTATTCATACCCTTTAAAGCTTCCAAAGGACTTTGAAAATTGAGAGGTTTAAGTGGCATTCTGTTGATAAGGTAGGCAGCCGTTAGAATAGCATCCCCCAAATAAGATTTTGATAGATGCATGGTGAACATAAGAGATCTTGCTACTTCTAACAAATTCCTATTTTTTCATTCAACGACCCCATTTTGTGCACTAGTGTAAGGACAACTAGTCTGATGGACTATTCCATTGGACTCCAAATAAGCACCAAATCTTTTATCCATGTATTCGCTGCCATTGTCAGTTCTTAAGATTTTTATTTTGGCATCAAACTGAGTACAAATCATCTTATAAAATGACTGAAAACAAGAGAAAACTCCACTTTTGGCTTTTAACAAATATACCTAAGTTATCGTAGTGCAACAATCAATGAAAGGGAACAAACCATCGAGGCATCGACTACCGGACAAAGAAACAGTTTGGTAGGACCTCATACATCAGAATAAATAGTAATAAACAGAGTTGTCCTTCTATTATCACTCATATAATAAGAGTTTCTAGTATGCTTGGCATATTCACACGCATTAAGAACAAAGATTTAAATCGAGTCCATGAAAACAAATCGGGATATAACTTCTTCAAAATAAAGAATGATGGGTGTCCTAACCGTTTATGCCGTTGTATTATTTCTTGGTTGACATCCTTACTTTCCCCAAAAAAGGCTTGACCAAAGTTTTGAATTCCATCTAATATATACAAGTCATCACGTAATCTACCACTGCCGATCTTTTTTCCTATTTGAAGATCCTGAAAAATACAATGATCGGGAAAGAATTCGATTTTACAGTTTAGAGCTTTGGTGATAGCACTAACAAATAAAAGATTGACAGGGAATTCAGCGACATGGAGCACGGATGATAGTTTAATATTAGGAGTACAAACAACAGAACTTGTTCCAGAGATAGGTGTTAAAGAACCAGTGGCTATTTTAACATTATCTCCTTTGAGACACGGAGAATAGTTTTGAATGCCTTTAGAAGAGCATGTCATGTGTCTTTGCACCAGAATCAACAATCCAAGAATTAAGGTGAGCAGGAAAGGCAGTACCTGATTGCACGTGATTGGATGTGGCACCATTAGCGGAGTTAAGTTTGGCTATGAGGCGACGAAGAAGCTAAGTTTCATCTGAAGACAAGATTTCTCTAGAAACCGTCTCCTTGAATGTCTCCATAATTTTGCCCAATTAGAAGGAAATCTTAAGAAAATTGCTCAAAAATAATCTGCCTTGCTGGAAACCAAATATGTCTCGATGGAACCTGAACATCGATGAACGGAAAAATCAAAATTGGTAGGGACGGGCTTGGAATGTTCTAGCGACCCCAATAGAAAAGAAAATTCCAAAAACAAACCTGACCAGAAGGAGTTTGTGTTGCGGGCAGCCACCAAGAGAGAGAAAACTCGACCTGTTTGATAAAAACGGAACCCTAGTGCTGTGAGGGAGATAACTCACCTCAAAAAGGAAGCAATGACTCTGATACCATGTAGATTTTGAGATGAAAAAAAGGCTTCTTATATTTCTGTATGTGTTTACGTCCCATGAGCAAGAGAATTTATACAAAGCTCCTAATGCTAATTAAGGAAATAAAATAAATCTATATAATCAATCAAGCTATCAAATCAAATCAGATCTCCTAAATATAATCAAATCTCCTGAAATCATGCTAATCAACAATCTCCTAAATCAAATCTTCTTGAATCATGCTAATCAGCAATCTGCTAAATCAAATCTCCTTGAATCATGCTAATCAACAGTTTCTAAGTTGAGGGTGAATCTGAGTTTATAGTTCTTTTCAGAGTCCTGTTGTAATATGCTGTAATGTGTGTCTTTATCCATCTTTTCATGTAGTATCGTAATTTCTGTTGGTTGTTTAATATACAATCCACCGGGATTCTGTCAATTTGTGAACACAGTTTGGATTGCTTGAAACCTCTTTCTTCAACAAAATGCAATTAAGCTCATTCTGCTGTATCTGACATATTAATTTTACTTAATGCTTCAGGTGTTAAGTAACCGAGGTTATGACGGTGCTGCTGTTGATGTATGGTCCTGTGGTGTCATCCTTTTTGTCTTAATGTCGGGATATCTTCCATTTGATGAAGTAGACCTTCCTACCTTGTTTTCAAAGGTAGATGCCGTCTTGCATATGTAATGAGATAAATGGTTCATAAATGTATTGTGTGAAGTTATTTTGCTTTATGCTTTATACAGCGGGAAGATTCTAACGGGTTTTAAGGGATTATATTAGGGGCAATTGTTGCTCTGTTTCATATGGATAAGTCTGAGGATTCTAGGTTCTTCCTCTAGAGAACTCCTATTTGTTTTGATAGAGAAATTATAGAGTATAGTTACATAACTGAACTCAACTAGTTTTGATATAAGGCATAATTGTTGTACTGAGGGCTAATAGGTTGTAACATATATGAAGTCTTCTTGCCATTTTCTTATTCATTTCTTTGACCTCTATCAAGCATCAACTGCTAAGAGTAGTTGAGAATTGTGAAGGGTAAGCTCTATGTGATTGAGTGAGTCTCGAGGACTGGCTTTGCCAGGTGATTATGGTTTAATGACTTTCAGTTTGTGTCTCCATGAGTCACTTACTTCTTTGCTTATTACTTGCTATTTATCTGTTACCCCCTCTGTCCGATTTATGTGACGGTGTTGACTAGACAAGGAGTTTAAGGAACGAACGAGACTTTGACACTTAATCTAAATATCTGTAAATTATCAAAACTTCCCTTGCTACCAACAATTAAATGAGAGATGATAAGGGCTCAACATGTCCTTTTATCTTTCTCTCTCCTGATGGAAAATCAGTTTTTATTCAGGTAGGTCCTAACATGTCATGTCAATAAGGGCGGGATAGAAGTACTATCATTTAGGGGTTGTTTGGTTTGAGGGATAAGGATATTTAATCCTGGTATAAACTTCGGTATTACTTATACCACATCTGGTTTCCAGTATAAAACTTTGCATTAGTAATATAATGTCTGTATAGCTAATACACTTTTTGTTTCTGGTATTAAGCTCCGAATGAGTTATGGGAAGGTTAATATTGGAAACCGAATGCCGTCTTACTAGCATAAGTGTAACTTATATGTGAATCTGTATCATTTTATATGGGATAGAAGGAATACATGTAATAGCAATATATAAGAATATCTAAAGGCATAATGCCTTTAAATTGATAATCCTTACATAACAATCCCCGCATTATTATTCACCATGTGAGAATGCACGGGAGAAAAATCTATTATTGATTAATTATGACAATGATACAATGAACCCTATATATATACAATACATGTCCTACTCCTAATACATATGGGATTAGGGTTATTTACTACTATTTATACAATGAAACTAACACTCCCCCTCAAGCTGGTGCATATAAATCATATGTACCGAGCTTGTTACATATATAACTAATACGAGGACCAGTGAGGGACTTGGTGAAAATATCAGCAAGCTGATCCTTCGACTTCACAAATTTTGTAGCAATATCTCCCGAGAGTATCTTTTCTCTAACAAAGTGACAGTCAATCTCGATGTGTTTAGTTCTCTCATGGAGCACTGGATTTGACGCAATATGAAGAGCAACTTGATTATCACACACAAGTCCCATCTGACTAATCTCACCAAATTTCAACTCCTTGAGCAACTGTTTGATCCAAATTAGCTCACATGTGGCCATAGCCATTGCTCGATATTCTGTTTCTGCACTAGACCGAGCAACCACATTCTGTTTCTTGCTCTTCCAAGACACCAAATTTCCTCCTACTAAGACACAATATCCAGACGTAGAACGTCTATCAGAAGGTGATCCTGCCCAATCAGCATCTGAGTATCCAACGATCTGCTCATGGCCTCGATCTTCAAACAATAAGCCTTTGCCTAGAGCTGATTTTATATACCGAAGTATGCGGACAACTGCATCCCAATGACTATCACAGGGAGAATCCATAAACTGACTCACAACACTCACAGGAAAGGAAATGTCAGGTCTAGTCACTGTGAGGTAATTTAATTTACCAACCAACCGCCTATATCTTGCAGGATCGTTAAGAGGCTCCCCCTGTCCTGGCAGAAGTTTAGAATTCGGATCCATCGGAGTGTCGACAGGTCTACAACCTGTCATTCCTGTCTCCTCAAGAATATCTAAGGCATACTTCCGTTGTGAGATCACAATACCTGAGCTAGACTGAGCGACCTCAATACCCAGAAAATACTTTAATCTGCCCAGATCCTTAGTCTGAAAGTGCTGAAAGAGATGTTGCTTCAACTTACTAATACCTTCCTGATCATTGCCGGCAATAACAATATCGTCAACATAAACGACCAGATAAATACAGAGATTTGAAGCAGAATGTCGATAAAATACAGAGTGATCAGCTTCACTACGAGTCATGCCAAACTCCTGAATAACTGTGCTGAACTTACCAAACCAGGCTCGAGGAGACTGCTTTAGACCATAGAGGGACCGACATACAAGGCCACTAGACTCCCCCTGAGCAACAAAACCAGGTGGTTGCTCCATATAAACCTCATCCTCAAGGTCACCGTGAAGAAAAGCATTCTTAATGTCCAACTGATAGAGAGGCCAATGGCGAACAGCAGCCATGGATAGAAAAAGGCGGACTGATGCAATTTTAGCTACGGGAGAGAAAGTATCACTGTAATCGAGTCCAAATATCTGAGTATATCCTTTGGCAACAAGACGAGCCTTAAGTCGATCAACCTGGCCATCTGGACCAACTTTGACTGCATACACCCAACAACAACCAACAGTCGATTTACCTGAAGGAAGAGGAACAAGCTCCCAAGTAACACTCGTATGTAAAGCAGACATCTCGTCAATCATAGCCTGTCGCCATCCGGGATGAGACAGTGCTTCACCTGTAGACTTAGGAATGGAAACAGAGGACAAAGATGACACAAATGCACAATGGGATGATGAGAGACGATGGTAACTTAAACCGATATAATGAGGATTAGGATTAACTGTGGACCGTATACCTTTTCGTAGTGCAATCGGTTGATTAAGAGGAGACAAGTCCGCAGTATTAGCAGGGTCAGGTGCAGGACGTGAATCAGCTGGGCCTGATGCTGGGGGCGGACGACGATGATAAGTCAGGAGTGGTGGAGCTGTAGAAGGTTGAACTCGACTAGGTGGTGGCACTGGAGCTAGAGTTGGTGGAACTGGACTAGGTGGTGGCACTGGAGCTAGAGTTGGTGGAACTGGACTAGGTGGTGGCACTGGACTCGGTGGTGATACTGGAGCTATAGGTGGTGGCACTGGAACTGGAACTGTAGGCGGTGGAGCTATGGAGGAAGATGAATGGGAGATAGGGACTGAATCCCCAAAAGAAGGAACAGGTAGCACCTCAGAAATATCTAAGTGATTAACTGGACCTGTGAAGTATGATTGGGTTTCAAAGAAGGTAACATCAGCAGACATAAGAAATCGATGAAGGTCAGGAGAATAACATCGATATCCCTTTTGCGTTCTCGAGTAACCCAGAAATATGCACTTAAGAGCACGGGGAGCTAACTTATCTTTTCCTGGAGTAAGGTCATGAACAAAGCACGTACTCCCAAAGACACGGGGTGGAAGAGAGAACAAAGGTAAGTGGGGAAACAGGACAGAGAATGGAACTTGATTTTGGATAGCTGAAGATGGCATACGATTAATAAGATAACAAGATATAAGAACTGCATCCCACCAAAAACGGAGCGGAACATGAGATTGTATGAGTAGGGTACGAGCAGTTTCAATAAGATGTCTATTCTTTCTTTCAGCTACCCCATTTTGTTGGGATGTGTACGGACAAGATGTTTGATGAATAATCCCATGGGAGTTCATAAACTGCTGAAATGGGGAAGACAAATACTCTAGGGCATTATCACTATGAAATGTGCGGATAGAAACCCCAAATTGATTTTGAATTTCAGCATGGAAGGTCTGGAAAATAGAAAACAACTCAGATCGATTTTTCATCAAAAATATCCAAGTGCACCTGGAATAATCATCAATGAAACTGACAAAGTAGCGGAATCCTAAGGTAGAGCTACCCCGACTAGGACCCCAAACATCTGAATGGACTAAAGTAAAAGGTGACTCTGCTTGATTGTCAAGACGCCGCGGGAAATGGGAGCGGGTATGCTTACCAAGCTGACACGACTCACACTCTAAAGTGGACAAGTGAGATAAGCCAGGTACCATTTTCTGAAGTTTTGACAAACTGGGATGTCCTAACCGTTTATGTAATAAATCTGGTGAATCAGTAACGGGAGAAGTTATTGGAGGAAGACAAGATGTGAGTCCATGTGATTTTGCAAGGATAAGTCCACCGGTACCAATGATCCGCCCTGTACTGCGTTCCTGTATAAAAACAAGGTCATAAAAAAATAAAACATCAGATTTAAGTGATTTGGCTAAGCGACTAACGGCTATGAGATTAAAAGGACTACCAGGAACATAAAGAACCGAGTCTAAAGGTAAGGAAGGAAGTGGACTTGCTTGACCTATTGTAGTTGCCATGGCTTGAGACCCATTGGCCATTGTGACTGTTGGAAGAGATTGAGAATATGAGATACTAGTGAAAAGAGATTTGTTACCAGAAATATGATTAGATGCACCTGAAACAATGACCCAAGACTCAGAAGGTGAAGATTGGGGGACACCAGTCATGCTACTATTTGTTGGAACAACGGAGGTTAATCCTGAAGATGTCTGTTTACGTGCTTTGTACTGAAGGAACTCAATATAATCCGGTAAAGAAACCATCTGGATTGGATTTATTGCATTTAATCCAACGGATTGTGAGTTAAAGGCTTCAGGTACGAATTCCATTATAATATCGTGCCGGAAAAAGCAGGAAATTGTTGGGGATCACTGTTCACGCCGAAAAAATCACTGTAGCTCACCGGAGAATTCCAAAGTTGTCGGAATCTGTCCGAAATAGCACCAATAGACTCGGAATTGTAAGGAGATGAAGCTGTTCTGAAGAAACTTTTTCAAAATCTGACCGGAAGGGGTCTCACGCGCCGGCGCGTGGGACAGACGCGCCGCTGGTGGCAGAGCTCCGACAAGCGCGTGACGGCGCGTGGCTTGCTATTTTCTGGTGATTTTTTCTGGGGTTTGGTCGGATCTCTCTTTGGAACCTTGTGGTGGTGTTGGATTTTGCACAACACTGATAATTAGTGACTTTGACGCAATTAGTCACTTAGGTCACCGGAAAATTGCACGGTGACTGAGTTCTTTCTTCCCGGATATCGCTGGAATGACGCACAACGATAAATTTCTCACGGTTGCTCTGATACCATGTGAGAATGCACGGGAGAAAAATCTATTATTGATTAATTATGACAATGATACAATGAGCTCTATATATATACAATACATGTCCTACTCCTAATACATATGGGATTAGGGTTATTTATTACTCCCTCCGTTCCAATTTATGTGAACCTGTTTGACTGGGCACAAAGTTTAAGAAAAAATGAAGACTTTTGGAATTTGTGGTCCTAAATAAGTCAAAAAGGGGCCCAGAGTATTTGTGTGGTTATAAAAGCTTCTCATTAAGGGTAGAATTGTAAGTTTAAGCTAAATTGTTACCAAATTTAGAAAGGGTTCATTCTTTTTGGAACGGACTAAAAAGGAAATAGGTTCACATAAATTGGAACAGAGGGAGTACTATTTATACAATGAAACTAACACACCATATAACAATCCATGCATTATTATTCACCACTAACAATCTCTACATTACTATTTACTAGTGAAACAACCTTTGTATTATAATCTCTGCACAATTAAATGCAAAACCAAATGACCCTCATAGTCTCCAAATATGGAAAAGCGTCAATTTCTTGGGACAAGCTAAAATGAAAATACTGTTACATAAAATGGGTAAGGCTGCGTAAAATAGATTCTTGTGGTCCGGTCCTTTTCCGGAACCCGCGCATAGCGGGAGCTTAGTGCACCGGGCTGCATGCATGAAAATGGGATAGAGGAAATATAATTTGTTCATTTGTGTTCTTCTTTTAGTTATTTCCATTTCAATTATTTTAAAATTTTATGTAGTTGCGGAACTGAAAATTTTCGCTGCTTCCTCATTATTCTGAGCATTGCTTTTGTGCTCCATGAAATTTCTAATTGGCTTTTCTATTGATGCAGATCAATGCAGCTGATTTCTCCTGTCCTTTTTGGTTTTCTCCTGGTGCAGTGTCACTGATAAGAAAAATTCTTGACCCAAATCCTGATACTGTGAGTGTAGAGATCACCATTCCATCTTATAGTTATGGTATCACATTGCTTCTTTGTCGCTCAGAATAGACTTGAAGATGGTAGGCCACCTAGAATGGAGATCTCCCCCTGCACTACAGACATGTTGTTTACGTAACAACAACAACAAGCCCAGTATTTTCCCACAAGGGGGGTCTGGGGAGGGTGAGATGTACGCAGCCTTACCCCTACCCTAGAAGGACAGAGAGGCTGTTTCCGATAGACCCTCGGCTAGAGAACGGATGACAAAAGTAATGGCAACAAGATGGAATAACAACGAGATAAAAATACTGAAATCAAGAAAGCAGTTAAAATCTAGGTAATAATAGCAATCTATGAATAAAAGGATAACATACAACACTAATGCTAGCAAACTGGGAAAGACAAAAGAAATACGCTCGACTACCTACTAGCCTTCTACCCTAATGCTCGGCCTCCACACCCTCCTATCTAGGCTCATGTCCTCAATCAACTCCAGTTGCGCTAGGACCCGTCTAATAACCTGGCCCCAAGACTTCTTAGGCCTACCTCTATCCCTCCTGATACCCACTGAGGTTAACCTCTCGCACCTTTTGACTGGGGCTTCTATACTCCTCCTCTTAACATGCATGAACCATCTCATCCTCGTCTCCCGCATCTTTTCCTCCACAAAAGCCACTCCCACCTTATCCCGAATAACTTTATTCCTAATAGTATCCAACCTGGTATGCCCACACATCCACCTTAACATCCTCATCTCAGCTACTTTTATCTTCTAGACATGAGTGTTCTTGACCGGGCAACACTCTGCGCCATACATGATACAACATAGTTGGTCTAACTACAACCTTGTAGAACATAGTTGAAATTTCGTCCGGAGTAGTGCGTCCTTCTTATTGTGTTTTGATGAACCATTGACTAGACTTCATCTTTTGTCCAATAAAAAAAAAGTTAAAAATGACCCACAATTTATGGACGCCTTAAATACTAAATCCAGCAAGAAACTTTAGCTAGATGGAGATGGTTTGATTGTTAGAGATGCATTTCGTGTCTATTATAATTCATCCTTCATGCTCTTCTTTCAATTCTTTGTCCTCCTTATGTTTTCAGCTTGTTATTAAACGTGCTAAAGCTTGACTCTATATTGTTCTTTCTGATCTCTTTAGGGAAACTAAATTAAATTATTACTGTGACTTGTGAAGGATAAATCTCTGAAGAAGTTTACCATGGTTTTTAATGCTCAAATATGTCTTTCTTGATCCAGTAACCTATTTCCAGACCACTCTACTATTGATCACTCACAAATCTGAATTGCTGAGGACAAAGCGGAAGTTCCCTTTCTTCCCCAAGCAAACTTGTGCTGGTCACCCCTTTCTGCCGCTTCTTTCTGCTCTTTTTTTCCCACCTAAACCTTTGTTCATTTTCTACCAAAGCTATATCACATGCTTTAAATGATGCTCACTGTTATGCTTATTAAAATTAGCAAACTAAGTACAGAATACCCCCACTTGAAGTGAAGTAGAATGTTTGTCATATCCAAGTTATTTTTATCAAGAGGAGAAGATATGCAGTTAATGGACATGATTGATTGAATGAAACAATTAGGATGTTGTGATACAGAAAAATGAAATGCTGTCAAAAGATACTGCAAACTTGCTTAGCTGCTTTCTGCCTGGATAATCTATGAAAATGTAATACATCTGGAGGGTGAATTCTCTTCTTAAAATCATTAATCACTTATGCAACACATCACTCTTTTGACGGGGCAAAGCTCTTTTTCCTAGTAAAGTACACATGAATTGTTTGGGTTTAGTTGCTCGTCTTTACTTTAAGCTTACCGATACATTACCTTCTCAAACCAAAAAAAAAAAAGAATCTCTCATGAGTTCTCAGCTTACAGATCCTTCTGATAATTGCATATGTAAGCCATACTTTATGCATGCCTACTGAGAGTTTCCTGTTTCTGTTCAATAGAGTAACTCTATTACTTTTCTCATCAGTCTTTTCTCGGTAAATTTGAGAAGTTACAGTATGATTTTTGCAAACTAGAGCAGTTTTGATGTTTCTATAGCCACCATCTATGTTAATCAGAACCATATAAATGCAGCGGATCAAGATTAAAGGGATAAAAAGAGACTCTTGGTTCCGAAAAGACTACTTGCCCTTCAGGGTTAAAGATGACGAACAAGTGAATCTTGATGATGTCCGTGCTGTGTTTGACGATATTGAGGTGGAATTCCATTTTATTATTATGGCATATTTATCAACTTTCATTGTATATTTTGGATGATAAGTATAATACTCCCTTTCAATCTATGTGTCCTACTTTCCTTTTTAGTCCATTTCAAAAAGAATATCTCTTTCTATCTTTGATAAGTTTTTAGTTCCAACATTTACATTTTACCTCAAGGTTCAAAGGTTTTTTTGGTATGTTATACACACCTTTAGTTGAAGACTACAAGATTCAAAAGTCTTCTTTACATTCTTAAACTCCATGCCTAGTCAAACTAAGACACAAGATGGAACAGAGGGAGTATTGAATTTAAGAGAATTCTTATAGTATCAAGATAGATCCAATGATAACTGATGACTCCGTATTGCAATATCCTCATCTATTCTGTGTGGCTAAATTTAATATGCTGTTGCATCTTCAATTTTGCAGGGGGAACTTGTAAGCGAGAAATCTGTTAATAGTGATAGTAGCCCCTTGGTAATGAATGCATTTGAGATAATGATGCTTTCTTGGGGAGAAATTAGCAATAATTCTCATCTATGCTGTGCCTAAATTTGATATCTCTTGCATCTTCAATTTTGCAGGAGGAACTTGTAAGTAAGAAATCTGAATATAGTGAGGGCGGCCCCTTGATAATGAATGCATTCGAGATGATCACACTATCTCAGGGGTTGAATTTAGCAGCCTTATTTGACAGGCGTCAGGTACAGTGATTATTTCAGTGAACAAAAAAAGGTCGAGCAAACCTTAGTTTCGTGTCATGCAGTCTTTCTGTTTCTTCCTACTGCATATATCTGTTGTTCTTTCCTTCTCTTTTCTTTTTCCTGGTTTTTGCTTTAAACTTTTCATTTGTGCAATAAGAGAGGGGGTTGATGGAAGCTGCAAAGGTTTCTTCTATAATTTCTTTAGTGTAGTGTTTTCCTTTAAGAAGCAAGCTAGTTAGCCTCTCTCTGTGCGTATGTTCTTTTCTACTTTTTTCTCCCTTTTTTTGTTGATTGGATACATGCGACATGAAAACATGCTTCGTAGTGACCAACCATTTGTTTATACGTCGTCTTTCATGATATATACATGATATATGACTGTTTATTTGTTAGGAAATAATCTGTCTATGATAATCTGGAATAGCTCATAATCCTGGGAAGTCTAGTTAGTTTTTGAGTTTCTCCCCACTTGGAAAAGGGGGTTCGCCTAGTGCTTCATCTTTCTAGACAAGGTTTTGCAACTTCTTATGCTAACTGAGAACAGTTGACTTGCTTCATTTTTTTGAAATTGGTAACAATGTATTAATCAGCAGCACAAAGATAGCTCAGGAAACCATATTTACAAGTAACTATATCCTGCTCGGCTTACAGGGATTCTATGACTTCTATGAGCGATTCAGCTTGTCAACATACTTTCTTTACGTCAAAAGTGAGATAACAAAATACAAATCATCTTAATCTTCTGTAGTGAGCAGCATCTATCTTCGAAATACCTTGCTTTCCATACTGTCCACCAAATGCATGCTGGGACAATTTTCCGCCATTTCTTCTGTCTCACACTGCCACTTGCATTGTCCCAGCAACTCAACAGACCCTTTGTAGTCCTAGGCACACACCGTTTGAGTCCAATCATGCTTAGGAACAGCTGCCATAGTTGATCAGAAGCCCCCCAGTGTAAAAATAGATGACTGGTACTCTCTGTTAAATGACTTGATTCATTCTTACAGGATTATGTCAAGCGTCAAACTCGATTTGTTTCCCGCCAACCAGCTAATATCATAATATCAACTATCGAAGCAGCAGCATGGTCGATGGATCTCAAGGTCACCACACATAATTACAAGGTAAATATTCTTCACCTCCATATGATACAGTCGGATTCATTCTTTGTTCTAACTACTAATAGAATCGAAGAAATGCTATAATAATAGACAAACTCCAAGTGAGCTTGCTGAAATTGCTGTTTCCAAATCCAGATAAAGAAAAGGGTTGTAATAAGTTAATAGACGACTAAATCATTAAAGTTTGATGTTTTACACTGTAGGCACAAACTCTACGTTTGACTTTTTAAAGACCTCGTATCTTTTGACAGTTAATTGTTACCAAATGTGAGCTTCCCTCAGACATGCTTTAAGATAACAAACTTATCCCGAGTAGCACATTTCATCTTTCTGCAAATTAAACCCAATGTCATAACGCTAATAGGTTTCTGTCATTGATTGATGATTTTCTGGGCTTTTGGGTTTTTAGATCACTTTTTCTTTTAATCTCAAAGGTTGCATGGTGTGAGTTTCTGTTTCCTTGAAGCTGGTTTAATTTTTGTACTGTTATATTCTTTTGCAGATTAGACTTCAAGGCGTAAGGGCAAATAAGGCTGGTCCATTTGCTGTTGTACTGGAGGTAACTTGTGAACTAAACTACTCATGCAGCTGCTCTTTAGTGACGTTTTATTACCCGATTCCTCTTTCATTTTTGACTGTTTTTTCCTTTAATTTGAAAGGTTTTCCTAGTTGCGCCATCCCTTTATATGGTCGATGTTCGGAAGGCTGCTGGGGAAACCCTTGAATACCATAAGGTCTGCTTCTATCCTTGTAACTTTTGCTAAAGCATTGCATCACAATCATTAAATTTAGATTTTCTAATGAATTGCACAAAGCTCAGAACAAGCCATTAATCTTTTTGCAGTTTTACAAGGAATTCTGCCAAAAAATTGATAATATCATTTTGAAACCAAAGGAGGGCATGGGAAACTCTAGTCTGGCCAGAACAATGACTTGCTGACCCAAATAACTGCTAAATGAAGGGGGAAATGAACTGATACGTGAGTTACCTCACTAAAGTAATCCAAGAGAGAGGTTCAGTGGAGAGAAATGAGACAAACCCCCCAACTCAGTGTACCTGTAAGCAGTATTATATGTTAACAAAATACTTGAAGCCTGCAATCCCCTTTTCTCGTATACCAGATTGTTGTGTTGGTATAATATGTCTGTTGTTATAGATGTTTTTCTTGAAGTGTTATCCAGATCCCCCCCCCCCCCCCCCTTTTCCACCCTGGGTCCTCTTGGCCCCTGCAAAATCTTTGTAACTGCATACCCTGTTGTTAGTGTTTTGACTTTGTATATATTTTCTAGTGTTTTCTAGTGTGAACTATTCATTTTAATAGTTAGTTCAACTGAATATAAATGACTTTAGCTGACGACCGTAGAAGGAGATGGATCCACTGCATTGGCCACTGGTTCCTCCATTGTTTGGTTTTGTGGACAATAATTTTTGGGATTAGTCACTTGTTGAATTTTAGGTAAAGTTGTCATGTGACCAGGAGATTACGGGTTCGAGCCCTGGAAACAACCTCTTGCTGAAATGCAGGGGCGTACAATCCACCCTTGCGGTCTGGCCCTTTCCTGACCCCCGCACAGCGGGAGCTTACTGCGCCAGGCTACCATCTGGTCACTTGTTGAATCAGTATGATATTCTAGGGTTTGATATTGATTCTTCTAGTAACTGATAAACATCTTTAGAACTAGTTATACCTTTTTGTGAATGCTATTCATGCCCGTAATGGAACAAAGTAGATGGTTTTTTCCCGTAAGTAAGAGGTTTAATAATAAGTACTTTCATCTTTTAACCTACTGTTTCGGGTGCGAGTCATACTGAGTAGGAATAATGGACGGTTGTTAAAATAGAAAAGAAGCATTCCACTATGTAATTTCCCCCATCTTAAAATTCTATCTTCTCTCAAAGAGCAACTTTTACACAAATATCTTTTAAAATTCTATCTTCTCTCGGGGTTGTTTGGTTTGGAAACAAGTTATCCCATAATTAATTTTCTCGGAATTAGTTATTGCGCCTTCCCATGGGAGAAAAAAAATACTACAATAGATAATTAATTCCGGAATTAATTATACCTCAATTTTATCCCAACTAAACATGGGATAAATTCATCTCAAATTTAATTTCAGGACTAGTTATCCCTTATCCCTCTCACCAATTGACCAACTTTTACCCCAATTAAAGAAATGTTAGACAGAGGGGTGTAATCGGCAGATAACACTATTTCACGGATTAGACGTTCTTTACATGCTTTATCTATGTTTTCTGATCATCTATCACAAGTCAAATAAAGTGAAAAAATACACACACACACAGCAACTTAGACAAGTTCACACTAGAAAATACTTTACCAGTGTACCTTCTTCTCTAAATTAAAAAAGAGAGTAAAAGAACAATAAAAGAAATATACATGTCAAGTTATTGACCGAAAGTTGAAAGGCTCGCGTAATGGGTAAAGTTATTGCCACTGGCCATGAGGTTAGGGGTTCGAATCGTGGAAACAGCCTCTTGCAGAAATACAGGGAACAACTGCGTACCATAAACCGTGTGGTTCGACCCTTCTTCGGATCCCGCGCATAGGGGAGCTTAGTATATCGGGCTGTCCTTATAAGTTACTAAGTGAAAGTCGTGTATAAAATGATTGCATTAACACCAAGAAATTGTTTACAACTTTACCTTCTACTCTAAGTTAGAAGAGGGCAAAAAAGAATTACTATTAAATGACATATCAAGGTTGAAAATACTTAGTTCCACATTTGCATTTCCATGAGAGGAGATAATAGCCTTCATCTTCTCTAGTGTATAATGTCTTTAACGATTTGCTAACTTTCCCAGAAGTAGAAGTATGTGGAGGAATGACAAGTACAGCCATGCATGGTCTGCAGCCTTTGCATCTATTTACACACTTTGGTGGACTTGATCCCAACATTACCATTCTCATTTGCTTCCTTTCTCCACTTCTCCCTATAAACAACAATTTCAATTTTTTCAGATAAGCTCACTACTAAAAAAAAAAATAGGAATTAGCGATGGATAAAATTGTAGCTAAACAGAAATATTTGTTACTAATTTGATTTAGCGACAAAATATCAAAAGAATTAATAATTTGCCCAAATCATACTATAAGAAAATACTACTCAATTAATAAGCAATATGCAGCTTTCTAAGTGCCTATCCCAAGACTAGTAGATAAAGAAGATTAAGAGATAAGTACCCTTTACAAATGCAATGAATGAAAGAAAAAGAAGAATTCTATGGAAAAAAATTGAAAGAGAGAGACAAGAAGATTATGATCGGTTTTTCCTTAGGTTCATGTTTTTTTTTCCTCTCTATTGTTTTACCTGATATAGAAGGAAGGAATGTGAGTGAATAGATGAGCATCAAAATTACAGAAATTTTTAGTCCTTTTGAGTAGGACATATTAATGGTTGATGAAACCATCACTAATCTTGTCCCAAGCTTTCACAACATGAAAAATCAAACTCCCCCTTTCACACAAAGTGTGTTTTGAGTGTTGGGGAGAATTTAGTAGTGTCTCACTCTGTATATCTATATGATTTTGTGATTGTTTCTAAAAAGACAAAAATAGAGCTTTATGAACAAGAAAGGGGCCCCAACACTTCCATAAGGTGTGCCAGGTCAATGAAACTAGTGAAAATCAAAGTTCAAATTCTAAGAGAGAAAAAAAAATATTGTATAACTGCTTTCAAAATAATAGTGAAAAAAATATTATATATATATATATATACACACACACTCACACATTCTGTATGTTATATACAAAAATTATGGAGTATAAATTTTATATACTTTTTCAGCTACCAAATATAAATAGTTTTTGGCACGAGATGTTAGGTGATTTTGTCGTATATGCTTAAACTTTGATAGATAAAGTTTAGTATAGGTACTGGTGGAATGTACCAAATACCTAATAAAATAGTTGAGGTGTATGCAAGATTTATCGGACATTATGAGGGGGACTCAATGCATGCAAATGTATTATTCAGCTGTCAATAAAGTGGGTAAAAATTAGAAAAAAATCAAGATTTAAATTTCAACAATGACAAAAAAATGGATCTTTACACAACTAGCCGGTTATATTAATTGTTTACTCTTTCTAGCAATATACATAGATTATACATTGATTATACACATCTAATACATAAATTATGCATATATTATACATTCATCGGCTATAGTTTAAGTGGTAGGGAAGGCAACTATTTGGGTTAATTCTTTACAAAAAAAACTTGATGGTTTCTTCTCATTTGTCTAATGTTTGGCTGACAGAGTTATTTTAATACGTGTATTGATAGGATGCAATAGGCAGCAACAACAACAACAACAACAACGGCCCAGTATAATCCCATAAGTGGGGTCTGGGGAGGGTAATATGTACGCAGACCTTACCCCTAACTCGAGGGGCAGAGAGGCTGTTTCCGGGAGACCCTCGGCTCAAGAAAGATAGGATGCAATAGGCATCAAATATAATAGTCGACGTATGCACAAATTGATCAGAATTATTATAAAATAAAAATAAAGGGGGGCCATCACAAAAAAACTTTGATTTCCGAATTGAGAAAACAGTATTAATTTTCAGAGTGAATGACAGGAGTGAGAATTTGAAGCAACAGGTTCTCAAATTATTGAAGTACTTTTTTTCACATAGAATTGTCCAATCCTCACTTGGATTCTTGTTTCTTTCCTTTGATTGATGTCTTCTTTTTCTCTTTGCTATTTCTTTACCATACAAGGACATGACATTTGACTAAAGATAGCAAAATTCAGCTATTTTTACAACTGGCTATATATTGGAGTATGATGTAAGATTACAATATAACTGTACAGTTGTTTTTTTCTAGCTTTTATAAAAGCATACAGTTTTAAACAGTAGTTTTGAATGTTGTCTCTATTTTTGTAATTTATTTTATGATATACTAAAATATTGCATGTAATTATTGCAGGCTTTCAAAAGATGTCTGCTCATTTTACCCAATGCTAGAAATATTCCAACATTGCTTAATAGTAACTATTTGGCTTCAATGTTGGAGACAAGGGATTTTAGATACCCTTACACATTTTTAAGTTTTTTTTTAATTATTCAGTACTTCGGGTTAATTTCACGTATGATAATTGAACTTTACTTAATATAAAATAAAGTCATAAAATTATATGTTTCACATTAAGTAATTATACTATGTGTGAATTGATCAGAAAATACATATGACCGGAGGGTAAAATTTCTGACACCGGGTTATGACGTGTCACTTGTCATGTTTGTGCTTTTGCCAGTTTGTGAATTACACATAAGAAGATGAGAAAATATATTAGCATGCGTAAATTTTAGCTAACCGTATTTTAAAATCATTAAAGAAAACAAATTAAAAGATGCAAGCTCATTTACGCAATGCTATAAATATTCCAACCTTACATAATACTCCCTCCGGTTCACACTAAGTGACCATTTTATTTTTGATACAAACATAAAGGAAATACGAACTCTTGTTGATATTCCAACATTGCTTAATAGTTAGTAGTACTTGATTTATCAATGGTTCTCTTGTTGTTCATAAAAATGGAAAAGCATTTTTGGCTGCAGTGGTGGAGACAAAGATTCTCCCTTGAGAAAATTCTTTTAAAATTTTATATTCCATCAATTTTAATGAGTGATTGAGCTTAGCTATAAGGGAGTTAATTTTATCCATGGTCATTGAACTTTTGTGTTTGTTACCCAAAAGTCACTTTTCTTTTTTTTGTTACATAAAAATCATTCAACTTTGTGTTCATTACACAAAAATCACTTTTCTTTCTTTTGTTACACAAAAGTCATTTTACTTTGCTCTAATTATCACAAAAGTCACATTTGTACTTGAAAAGTCTATTATGCCCTTGGTATTATATAAACGCCTTCATATTTATGTAATACATTCTATATTATATACTATATAATATATTTTTAACTATGTATTTTATTTATAAATAAAATAACTTAATATTATTTTATTTATTTATTTTATAATATATTCATATATTTAATTTTTTCTTAACGTTAATTTTCAAAATATATTAGTAGCGTTATTAAATTTGTCAGTAACTTTAATATATCTAGTAGAGAAATAAATCGGCAAGTATATTTTCGTGAGAAAATTCGCAGGTAAACAAACAAAGAAAATGAGGAACAAATCATATGTTAATCTGAAGGAAAATCCCTAGATACTACATGCGATTTTAGCTGGGGATATTTTCTTGGGGATTTGCCCGGGCAATTGATTATTTGGGAAATTACACTACTAGAAATTCGAGAAAAATCGTCTAAAAAAATCGACCAAAGTTGGTCGGTAATGGCCAATAACCGTCCAAAACGCGACTATTAACGTGTGGCCAGTATTTTGAAGGTCGGAAGGGCATACCGACTAAAGTTGGTCAAAAATTACCGACCAACTTTGGTCGGTCAATTAAATTCAAAAAAAAGAATTGCTGAAAAAATGTAACTTTTTAACGCTACTGATATATCTTAAAACTTAAAGTTAAGAAAAAATTAAATAGACGAATATATTATAAGAATAATAAATAAAATAATATTAAGTTATTTTATTTATAAATAAAATACATAGTTAAAAATATATTATATAGTATATAATATAGAAGGTATTATATAAATACGAAGGTTTATATAATATCAAGGGCATAATAGACTTTTCAAGTAAAAATGTGACTTTTGTGATAACTAGAGCAAAGTAAAATAATTTTTGTGTAACAAAAGAAAGAAAAGTGACTTTTGTGTAATGAACACAAAGTTGAATGATTTTTACGTAACTAAAAAAAGAAAAGTGACTTTTGGGTAACAAACACAAAAGTTCAATGATCATGGATAAAATTATCTCGCTATAAGGTATAAGCTGCCAATTTTAGACATATTGAATTAAATGTTGGGCAACTTACATATTTGGCTGGTCAGTCAATATATATATATATATATATATATATATATATATATATATATATATATATATATATATATATATTTATATATTTCCTCTGTTTCAGTTTACCTTTATAAATTACTTATAACTACAAAAAATATATGTGCCTCATTTTATACCACAAGTTCAATTCTTTTTTTTCTTAAACTCTGTATCCTGTCAAATAGTATATATGTTACTATTATTTTTGGAAACGGCTATACTGTGTAGTTTTCCTTAAATATTGTGCTAATAACGATTTGTAATCATAATGCGCTCAACTTGGCGAATTAATTTGTGCAAGTCAAGATTAACATATTAATAGTTATTAACTATAAAGGAGAATACAAATTGATAAAATCATAATCATAACTATTTTACTGTCAATACACTATTAACCTCTTATTATGGTTTTAATTCACACCTCTCATATACAAGTAATAATTTCTCCCGACAATATCCCAATTCACAACCACAAAACTGTTTCGAAAATTTGTCCAAGAAATGACATCTGATATGCATCCCTATTTTTTGACTTTCTGAAAAGGTGAAGCAAGATGCGAAGTTCACAAAGAATAATAGTTAGAACAAATCGCTAAAGAAATGGTAACAAGGTGGACCTACAAATCCAGTCCATTGAATCAAATCTTTGAAAAATGACATTGTATAGTCATTCTCAAAATAATAACCAAAAAATATATATATTTTGAATATTTTTTGCATATACATTTATGTATGCTATATACAAAAAAATATATAAATTTTATACCTTTTTCGGCTACTGCATATAAATAGCCTCGGCCGTGAGATAAAATTAATCTTTTCCTTGAATCTTTGCATTATACGGAGATGTCAACGATGATATGCAAGAAAAAAGTACAGTAAAAATATATCAATTCATCTCTCCATTTTCTGTGAAAGGGGGGACAGAGAGCATAATTTCCTTCCTAACGGGGGATCTTTTTCTTTTTCTTTTTTGTTTCGCATTTCTCCAAAAAAAAAGGGACTAACTCTAAGGATGCATATATTTAAGTAAGCAAACCAATAGGAGGAAAGATTACAGCTGGTCTAGGAGTCGAAAGAGCTCAACTGACTTAAAGCTTGTTTGGCCAAGCTGCCTGATAATAGGCTAGATTCATGTAGTTTAGCAACCATTTACGCCCTAACTTGGCTATGCTTCACTGTTATATGAAGATTAACTGTCAAAAGATAGCTCTAATTATGAATTTGTGTTTTGCAGGAGCAAGTCTTGATTATGAGGAAATAGGACAGTGTTTGGAGCTAATTTAAAGCAAGGAAAGCCACTCGGAGGTGAATGCGCGTGAAAGAAGAAAGAAAAAAAGAGAAGAAAATGTTGATCCCAGGAGTGCGGGCCAAGCGCAGCCGCGCTCGAGCAGTAGAAGCCTGGCAGAATGGATTCCAATATGCGCGGTCCATGCGCACCCGCGCTAGTTCTTCGAGGAATTTTAATATCAGGGGTAATTTTGGAATTTCGTGGGCATCCAGCTCGCCCAAAAATAAGAAAAGAAGGTTTTTATAGTTTTGTTGAAGGCAAGAAGAGGCAAGAGGAAAGGAGGAAAATTCGGCATCGATTCTATCTTTCTTCCTTTTGTATTGATCATTGATTATGAATTTTGTTGTTGTGATTATGAGAACAATTATGCGTAGCTAATTATTTAGTCTAGGGTTGATGGAACCAAGTGTTAGATGAAGTTTTAACTCAGTTTTGTTATAATCGAGTCGGGTTTATTATATCATTGTTCAACTATATTTTGTATGGTGATTAATTGAATGGGCCCTTGATTAATGTGTCTAATCGTGTTGTGTTGCTTGAGAAAGAATACTAGGTTAGATTGTTGTTGAACAACACCACTTTTGGGTAATTGAAGAGATTCATTACTTGAATTTAAAAGTGGGGTTAGAAATAATGAAACTTTGGTGGAATAATTCAGAGCTGCATAAATTATTAGCTAGAGTAGTTCGAGAGAATGCTCTAGTAAATTATCATAGTTGATCGAGAGATAATTGCGGTAATCCATAGCTCATAATCCTCATAGAGTATTACGGCGAGATTATAGCAAAAGAGTTAAGAATTAATCTAGCAATTGGAAAAATCAATGCCCTAGATCTCTCTACCATTGAATTATCTTTAATTTGGAATATTGTTAGTTTTAATATCATTTTGCTTTAGTTAAACAAATCCCATTATTTATTGATACAAATCTTGCATCCGGGAATTGTTTGAGCTTGCACTAGCATCACTAAGAGTTGTAATAGATAGGTTAGTTCCCTGAGGATTCGACTCCAGACTTGTAAACCGGATTATATTTGCAATAACCGCTTTGTCTTTTATAAGGCATAGTTGGGCGTGATCAAATTTTGGCGTCGTTGCCAGGGAACTAGCGTGATTATTTATTACAACTTAGAAGTAGTGCTAGAATTATTAGTTTAGATCAATTTTCTATGGTGTTAAATAATTTTTCATTGAAATTCTCACGTTTGAACTCTTGTGTGATTCAGGTGTATGCCTAGAAATTCTTCGAGGACTGGTGAACTGCTTGAAGGACTCTCAGACCCCGAGAAAACATTCAGGGCATTAAACCGTGACAACAAGAAGAACAAACAATCACAACAAACACACCAACTCGCAATTGAAATGGACAACAGGGAAAACATCAATGCAAATGATCGGGCACCTCTTGTGCCAAACGAAGGAATGCCAAATGAAGTAGTGGTGGTACCTCTTGTGCCAGAAGCTGCACTATATGATTGGGCACAGCCAACAGCTGATAACCTGGCCATCGCCATTGCTGTGCCCCAAATACAAGCGGAGACATTCCAGATCACCAACAACATGCTGCATCTTCTACGGAATAAGGGATTGTTCTCCGGGTCACACATTGAAGACCTTCAACAACACCTGAAAAATTTTCTATCGATTTGTGTGACCCAAAGGCAGCCAAATGTGACCCCAGAAGCCATCAAGCTGTTACTGTTCCCGTTCTCTGTGACCGGGGAAGCTCAGACTTGGCTTAATTCGCTCCCAATATATTCCATTGCCACTTGGGAGGAATTAGTCAAGCATTTCCTGAACAAGTTTTACCCGCCCAACAAGACTGCAAGACAGATTGATGAGATATTGCAGTACAAGCAGAAGCCCACTGAGACCTTGCAAGAAAGTTGGGAAAGATTCAAAGGGATGCTAATGAAGTGTCCCCACCATGGTATTCCAGACCAGATGCTCGGCCAGAGATTCTATATGGGGTTCTATATGGGGTTAGCAGACAATTTAAAAGCCAATGTAGATGCTTCAGCTGGGGGTGCATTCTTGAGCAAGACATTCGCAGAGTATAAAATCCTTCTTGACAAGATGGCCCAGAATTCGGGGTGGATGACGAGAGGTACGACCCTGACACCAATAGTGCATTCAGTTCCTCTTGACCCCAAATAATTCACATGCAGAGAACATAGACACACTCATGACTCAGATGAGTATACTGACAAAGAAGATTGATGAGATGGGTACAAAGCAAGTGCATATCGTTGACACAACAAATGGAGGACTGTGTACACCTTGCATTAATCAGTCTTATGTGTGTTCATGGAGTGGAGAAGGTGATAACCAAGGGTTAAGAGAGGATATGAATTATGTCAATGATTTTGGGGGTCAGAGGCTAGGAGGACAACAATGGGGGCCAGCACCCAACCAACAATACAGACCGAACATGCCACAACCTGGGAGTATGCGGCCCCAAGGCCAAATGGTGCCATATCAGAGACAACAGGGCTATCAACAGCAGCATCAGCAATAGTTGACATATCAGCCACCTCATCAGCAACAGGACAGCAACATGGTAGAAATCACGGGTATGTTGCAACAACTCATTGGAACAAATGGTAAGATGCAGGAAAAGTTGGCAGCGCATGACTCAGCAATTAAGGGTATTGAAACTCAACTGGGGCAGCTGTCCATGGCCTTAAAAAACCGCCCCCAGGGAACATTGCCAGCCGGCATGAACATTAACCCCAAGGAGCAAAACCCAAATAAGCTGATGGTAGTAAGTCTCCGGAATGGGAGAGATTTAGACAGGGAGCAAGAAGTTGCTCAATCCAGAAGAGAGACTACACCGGCCACTCCATTTTCATTAGAGATAGATGAATCAGCAGAACTCACTGAAGTGGTGGTTGAACAGGCTCAGGTTGATTAGGGTAAGGCTAAAGAAAGTGAACAAGTTGCAGAACAGGTGGTACCTCTTATGCCACAAAATTCCAACAAAGAACAGCCAGCAAGCAATGGACAAAGAGTGATGCCTGCACCATTCCCTCAGAGACTGGCAAAACAAAAGAAAGAAGATCAATACAGGAAATTCATGGAGATGCTTCGTCAGATTCAATTGAATATACCTCTGATGGATGCTTTGAGGGAAATGTCAGTCTATGCAAAGATGATAAAGGACCTGATGTCACAGAAAATTGACTTTCAGGACCTGTCCACAGTAACTCTGACACAGACATGCAGCGCGGTAATGACAAGACACATGGCTCAAAAGATGTCTGATCCAGGTATCTTCATTATTCCGTGTACTATTTGGAGTTATGCTTTTGCAAAAGCATTATGTGACTTAGGATCCAGCATAAACTTGATGCCTTTGGCAATATATACAAAACTGGGCATTGGCAGAGCTAGACCGACTTCGATGCTGTTGCAACTGGCTGACCGCACAGTTAAAAGACCGATGGGGATTCTTGATGATGTGTTGGTACAAGTGGGAAAGTTTGTATTCCCTCCAGACTTTGTTATTCTGGACTACCAGGCAGATGAGGAGATACCCATCATTCTGGGGCGGCCATTCTTATCCACTGGGAGAGCATTGATTGATTGTGAAACTGGGGAATTAAAAATGAGGTTGAAAGATGAAGAAGTAATATTCAACGTTCAACAATCCATGAGGAGACCCAGTGAATATGCAAATTGCTTACTAGTGGAAGCTGTGAATGTGATCCTGTATGAAGAAGATGAGACCCTGAATGCCAAAGATCCATTAGGAGCTTGCTTGACAAATTTAGATGAGATGGATGGTGAAGGGTTGGCAGAGTGGGTCATGGAACTCGAAGGCCAAGGATTCTAGAAGAGGGAACCTCAGTTCGAGCCCCTTTATTTAGAAGAGAGAGCTACACCACTTGCAAAACCATCAATAGAGGAACCACCACAACTGGAGCTGAAACCGCTTCCAGCCCACCTCAGGTATGTTTTCTTGGGTCCCAATTCTACTTTTCCTGTTATTATATCATCTGGTTTGCTAGCTGTGCAGGTAGAACAAATACTAGAGGTGTTGCAAGAATGCAAAACTGCCATTGGTTGGACCATGGCAGACATAAAGGGTATCGGCCGGGCCTTCTGCATGCACAAGATTCGTCTAGAAGAAGGGCACAAACCTTCCAGGGAACATCGACGAAGGCTGAACCCGAATATGAAAGAGGTAGTGAAAAAGGAGGTAATCAAGTGGCTGGACGCGGGCATTATCTTTCCCATCTCTAATATCAGTTGGGTAAGCCCCGTCCAGTGTGTACCGAAAAAGGGTGGAATGACAGTTGTACAAAATGAGAAGAATGAGTTGATCTCAACTCGTACAGTCACAGGGTGGCGGATTTGCATGGATTATAGGAAATTAAACGTAGCCACCCAAAAGGACCATTTCCCCTTGCCCTTCATTGACCAGATGTTGGACAGGTTAGCTGAGCGATCCCAATTTTGTTTCTTGGACGGATACTCGGGGTACAATCAGATCTCAATAGCCCCGGAAGAAAGAGAGAAAACATCCTTCACATGTCCATATTGCATCTTTGCCTTTCGGAGAATGCCCTTTGGACTTTGCAATGCACCGGCCACATTCCAGCGGTGTATGTTAACCATTTTCACCGACATGGTCGAAGACATTATGGAGGTGTTTATGGATAATTTCTCCGTGGTAGGGGATTCATTCGAAGATTGTCTTCACAACCTTAAAAGAGTGCTCAAACGATGTGTGGAGACAAATTTGGTGCTAAACTGGGAGAAGTGCCATTTTATGGTACAAGAAGGCATAGTGTTGGGACATAGAGTTTCCAAAAAGGGTATTGAAGTACACCATGCAAAAGTTGATGTGATTGAGAAGCTCCCAGCACCCACTTCAGTGAAAGTAGTGAGAAGTTTCCTTGGGCACGCCGGATTCTACAGGCGGTTCATCAAGGATTTTTCAAAAATTGCTAACCCCTTATGTAAGCTGCTTGAAAAAGACCAGCACTTTATGTTTTCTAATGATTGCAGGTTAGCATTTGAGGAGCTGAAGAAGAGATTGGTGACTGCACCCATCATTGTTGCACCCAACTGGGAGCAACCATTCGAGCTGATGTGCGATGCCAGTGATTATGCTATAGGAGCGGTTTTGGGTCAGCGCAAGGAGAAAATTATGCACCCAATTTACTATGCAAGCAGGACGCTTAGTGGTGCACAGCTGAATTACACGGTCATGGAAAAAGAAATGCTCGCTGTAGTATTTGCCTTCGATAAATTCAGGTCATACCTGATTGTCTCAAAAGTTATTGTTTATACTGACCATGCAGCCATTAGGTACTTGATAGCAAAGAAGGATTCAAATCCCCGCTTGATTCGCTGGGTTCTGTTGCCACAAGAATTTGACCTGGAGATTCGTGACCGAAAGAGGACAGACAACCAAGTAGCAGACCACCTCTCGAGGTTGGAAGGGGCATAAAAGAGAACGGAGGTTGAAGATATCATTGAGACATTCCCGGATGAGCAATTACTTGCTGTGACAATGGAGGAGGCACCATGGTATGCTGATATTGCTAATTACTTAGCATGTGGTATTGTACCTCATGATCTCTCCTCAATTCAAAAGAAAAAAAAATTCGTGATTGTCGGGCATATTATTGGGATGAACCTCTATTGTTCAAAATATGTGTTGATAACATGATCCGGCGGTGTATCCCCGAGCAAGATCAACCCTCTGTTTTGCAGGCTTGCCTATGGTAGACACTTTGGAGGAATTCGGACAGCAATAAAGGTGCTGGAATCAGGCCTGTATTGGCCTACATTATTCAAGGATGCCCATGCTTGGGTCAAAAGCTGTGATGAATGTCAAAGAACGGGCAACATATCCCGTCGTCATGAGATGCCAATGACCACAATACAAGAGGTGGAAGTGTTTGACATGTGGGGGATCGACTTTATGGGGCCTTTCGTCAGCTCATACGGTAACAAGTATATACTGGTTGCCGTTGACTATGTCTCCAAGTGGGTCGAAGCAGTTTCTCTCCCAACCAATGATTCGAAAGGGGTGACCAGTTTCCTAAAGAAAAACATCTTCACACGTTTTGGCACCCCCCGAGCCATAATCAGTGATGGTGGCTCTCATTTTTGCAATAGAGCGTTTGCACGCCTGTTGGAGAAGTATGGAGTTCGCCACAAGGTAGACTCACCATACCACCCACAAACAAGCGGGCAGGTGGAAGTGTCCAATATGGAAATCAAAAGTGTCCTCTCAAAAACAGTGAATGCAACAAGAACTGATTGGGCAAAGAAGTTGGATAATGCATTGTGGGCATACCGCATAGCCTTTAAAACTCCAATTTGTATGTCACCATACAAGTTGGTATTTGGAAAGGCATGCCACCTTCCAGTTGAGCTCGAACACAAAGCACTGTGGGCATTGCGGCAGCTAAACTTAAACATGGAGACAGCGGGCACCAACAGAGTTAATGGGTTGCATGAGCTTGAGGAATTTCGGTTCCAGGCATTCGAGAGTGCTAGACTATATAAAGAAAGGATGAAACTGATGCATGACAAGCATATCTTGAATCGAAACTTCAGACCCGGAGAATTAGTGCTGCTATATAACTCAAGGTTGAGGTTGTTCCCGGGTAAGTTGAAGTCCTGATGGTCAGGACCGTTCAGAGTGGTGCAAATGTTCCCAAGTGGAGTTGTGGAGATCGAATCTGAAGATGGGACGAACAAATTCACAGTGAATGGGCAGAGGTTAAAACATTACCTTGGAATGACTGAAGAAAAAGGGGACAGCGTGGTGATAACGTTGGAGGAGCCCCAATACACAAATCAGGAGTGATGACATGAGCATGCGTCGTGCCGCGACGTTAAATCAGGCACTGCATGGGAGGCAACCCATTGACTTGTTGTAAATGTCGTGCCACGACATTACCTAAGGCGTTGGTTGGGAGGCAACCCAACGCGTAGTGATTTTAGTGTAGTTAGAACTGTTATTTGACTGGTTGTAAGTACTAACATATGCAGGTGAGCTTAGGCGAATGATAAGTCCATCTGAAGCTAAAGGAGTGGTAAAAAAAATTGAGAAATTTCGAGGCACGGGTGTGCGGCCGCGCATGAACCCCGCTCAGACCGCGCATATGGCAAAGTATTCTGCCTCAAGTTTCCGCCCAGGAGCGCGACTGCGCTCAGACCGCGCATATGGCATAGTATTCTCTTTCACAAGCGCGGTCGTGCTCGGACCGTGCTTGTACCGTTTCGCCTGCCACTTGATTTTCAGCAAAAAAAAATTATTTTTTTCTTTTACTTCTTTTATTAATTGTTTTGTCTTTTAATTGTAATATACTAATTTATCCCCCCCCCCCCCCAAACCTGATATCTCTCTCCCTCTTCTATTCTACTCACGCCCAAACCTAAACCCTCACTCACAAATCAAAACACTCACCTCCCCTGTTCTCCCCCAAAGAACCCCAGCCCTAATACTCCCAAATTCACGATCCCAGCAAACCCAGGCCACCCTATTTTCTCCTCTAACTATCACCTCACATCTACTAACCGCAATCCCATCAGGTAAGGTTTTGTTTTTGGGAATATTTGTGTTATTGGTGATGTAGTAGCTTTTCTTTCTTTTCTTTAGTGGATTTTTTTTTAATTTTTGTAGTGCTCTCTTGTATGCTAGTGGGTTTGTTGAGGTTGTTGTAAATGTATCTCTTAACATATGTGGGTGACATTGGGGCAATTGTGGCGGTTTTGGCTTATAAATTTGTTAATTGGGGACTCCGGTGAATGGTGCATACAAAGTGTTTGTTAAAATGCCTGAGTGAGTTTTTAATGTTAATTGTGATCAATTGGGCGGATGAAGTCTGAGTAACCGCCTTTGGTTCACATCTCTTGTGTTTCGCTGATGATGTTCTTGATTTCAGGTACTATGGTACCTCCCAGGAAACGCCAAACCACCGGTGCTTCATCTAGCGGCCAAGCTGGACCCTCCAGAGCGTGCGCTTCAGCTCCTGCTCGTCCTTATGATAGTAACAGGTTCGTCTCCACTGCAGCTCAGGACCGTTTTGCTAATAAGGCACCCAAGAAACCAATACCGGAGAGGGGCATGGATATAGGATTGCTCCAATATGGCTGCCCCAACTTGTACAATGAGCTGGTTAGGCATGGGCTAGAAATTTTCTTTGAAGAACCAGATGATGGGAATTTGATGGTTGTGCACGAGTTCTATGCGAACGTTAAAGAACATGTGAATGGTGTGGTCACAGTGCGCAAGAAGCCTGTGGATGCCTCTGTTGAGGCTATTCGGAGAGCATATCATCCGCCCGTACCTGTGGCGGAAATGGACGACTACTATGAAGCCTATGGTCGGCGATACACTCAATGGGAGTTATTCTTTGAAACAATTTGTGTGCCTGGCAAGGAGATTGTGTGGATGAAACATGGGCGTAAATTCCATTCAGCGGCACTCACCTTTGAAGGGAAGTGCTGGTTGTATGTCATCAACAACCGATTGCTCCCGTCCTCCAACACCACGGAAGTGAATGCTCCTCGAACTGCCTTGATTTGGTGTTTTATGAATAGTCACAATTTTGACGTGGCCAAGATTATTCATGAGGAGATGTTTACTCGTTGTCCAGTGAAGAGGTATGGTTTCTTTTTCCCTTCCCTAGTCACTAGGCTATGCCGGGCATCTCGGGTGCCGGAAAACTTGAGTGTTGATAGAAAAGTGCCGGGAGGCAAAGTTTCGAGCGGATAAGGTAACTACTGGGAAGGAGCCCGTGGCACCTGGTGGTGATGATAGTGATGACTCAGACGCATCTGAAGAGGGAGAGGATGAGCAGGAGGAAGCGGCAGCCGAGTCGCCCACCCATGAGCCAGTTACGAAAGCTGCAGGACCATCTGGGGTTGGTCGGGTTACCCGGTTAGTAGTGATCGGTGCCAAACCTGCACCACTATAGAGCGGCGAGAGCAATCGATGCAGCTTTTACCCGAATAGGTCGGGATCGAATCCACAGGGAGCTAGATTTGGGAATTGGATTCCTATCTAAACTAGCAATGTGTAATGCTCTTAATTACGCTTCAATCATAGTTGTTCTTTTGATTACTTCTATTTTTCATACTATAAGATACTAAATTTAACTAAGAATACTTGCTAAAGGGTTGTCTAATAGGTAACGAGGCACTAGGGAAGTGACTTCCCCCTAGGTGAATACTTGACGGGTTCCTAAGTCTAAGGCAAAGATGTTATGTTTGGGATCGCGATATAGCCATTTGCACGACACTACTCACTCTATACCTCTCGGTAGCTTGAGTGACTTTGCCCGAATTGACTTTCTCAAGACCAATTGGGTGTCAAAATTAAACAAGCAATGCAGGCTCAAGTCGGGTGTTACTATCTCTAGATTTAACCCTTTAATTGAGGCTATCAATCTCTTGAGTACGCCTCAATTTCTTGTTTGACTGATTTCCTAGACTTCAGCTCTCTTTCTCAAGAAGAGCCCAAGTCACTTAGGCACACATTAGTGTTTGCAACCACTAATCCAATATACAAAACACAAATCAGTCCAAATATCAACCACCCATAAACGTCTAAGCATTAAAACATAAGACCCATCAAATACCCACACTAGGGTTGAACCACAACCCTAGCTAATGGGTCTAGCTACTCATAATAATGGAAGAAAACAAGAAATTAGATGAAGAATAACCCATAATATTTAATTACAAACTAAGATAATGAAGATTCAGTGTAAAAGTAGCTACAAATTACTCAAAATGGAACAAAACAATAGTTCACGTGCTCAGCCCAAAGTCAGATTACAAAAGATGACCTAAAAATGTGAAAAGAAAGTATTTATACTAGGCCAAATTTTTTGGACAAAAATACCCCTGACGAGGTAATGTGGTCCACACAAAATGCACCGCGGACCGCGCTGAGGCTTTCTGGCTTGATTTTGCATTCTCTGAATCTGGCCACCGCGGGCCGCATAAAATGCACCGCGGCTACGGTGGCTTCAATGCGGTCCGCACAAAATGACTTGCGGACCGCGCTGGCTTCAATCTCCAAAATGGTTTGCGGCCGCGGTGAGGCTACTGCGGTCCACACAAAATGGTTTGCGGCCGCAGTGCTTGAGTTACCAAAAACTGCACCTCTCTGAATCTCATCACTGCAGACCGCACAAAATGGATTGCGGCCGAAATGGATCTGTTTCAACTGTGCTTGGACTTGTCCTTGGACTTGTGCATGTTTCACTCCTTTTTGAGCTGGTTTTGACTAATTGCCACCTTTTTGACCAAACCCTGCAAACAAGTACGACATGTAAGCCTTTGGGACTATTTTGTATACATTTTTAATCAAAACTCAAGTAAAAAGGAGTGTAAAATGAACTAGAATCCCTAGTTATCAACTCCCCCAAACTTAAGCTTTTGCTTGTCCTCAAGTAAACAAAATAAGACCCACCTCCTTAAGAG